GAGTGTGTTCCTTCGTTGGATAGCTGACAGTTATCGTCTATATAACATTTGTTAGGTTATTTACTGTCTTAGTCAAGGCTGTATAAATTGTCGAATTGCTGTTTTAGACACTGACTGACTGACTGACACTGAGGCTTACAAGGTTTTTGAAATGTGACGCGACCGTCACATTTCAAAAACCCAGCAAGCCTCATGTCATATTCAACAGCCTTTAAAAGTTATCTGTTGGACATACGCCTCTCCTTAGAAAGGAGCTTTTGGCCTACTGTACTACGCTGGCTAGAAGAGTTGGTATAGGGTTTGTTTCAAGTTTCGTTCTCTTAGCCGTGCCGGTCTCGTGCGTCGTTTGCCCCCCATAGTCGGCTCTTACGACACCCATGGGATGAATAGGGGTGGTGACACTCTGTATTCTAAATCCGTCACCACACGGACAGTGCCTTGCCTCATGTACCATAACTTAACCTAGTAAGTGCATGTGACTTGCTAGGTTATAAAGTGGTAAAGGCGAGTTACTACGTTATTCATCTGGTTTTTTGATAGAGTATAGTATACTTACTAGATTTCATGGTATCAAGAAATCTGTTATTTGTAAGATTTTAAAGCAGGTATCTTCACAATTCGACGCGACCTGCTATGACCCTTACTGTGTTTTGATTTGGGGCAGCTGAGGGTTTAGTGATGAAACTGAATACAAAATAAATCTTATAAAAATTGAAATACAATTATCTATAGTTACAAAGATTCTTAAAAAGGATAGAAATATATGAACTAAAAATGTATTCAACCATGGATGTAACTATGTGTAACTAAACTAAAATTAAGAAAATGCAAGTAATTTAGTCTTTGGATGGTTGGAATATCCAATTATTTTATGACCAAAACGCTTGCAACTATCCTAGTAAAGAAATTTTAACAAAAAATATGTGTAAAACATATATTTTACCAAAAACGTATTTTGTCCCTAAAACCATAAAGTTCATGCCACTATTACAGAGGATTACGTAAAGAATATACACAGTTACATATACGCAGTGTAAGGAAACTACTTCACTTTTTAGCAGTAGCTTTACGTTTATGTACATTTAGGATTCGTTCCGGTGACTTACAGAGCTACAGCGAACGATATTGGTGAAGAAATGAACATGTCCCTGCTAGGTAGATAAAATAAAAACTAGTAAAGTCTGATTAATGTTGATAGAAACATTATTGTAATAATTAATTATGAAAACGATTTACTAGTAATATTAATACGATTCAAGGTAACTTAATAGAGATTAGACGAATAAAATCGTCCAACAATTTTATTTAACACTGTTCAACCTAATGTAACATGAAGGGCGTAATTTCACCATGTCGTATTTTGTTTATATTATTATAATCATATTTTGCAAAGCAAATAAAGACTATGATTTTCAGTTTATTTTGCAATATTTCTGGTATGAATTTAATCTGTATGACTGGTCCTTAAATCAACTAATCTCACCTAATGACGTAATTTAATTTACGACTTTTTCTTAAGAGAATAACGATTTATTTTTACGAAGCGTACTATCGCGACACCGGTTCGTTCGTAACCAAAATTACCAACATATTAATTTGCCATTTCAGAGTGTGGGCAACGCATATAGGGTTTATATATCACTGGTCTCACCTTCATAACTTGTCAAAGGTTATGCCGTGTAAATGTCAGTAACAGGTATGACTAATAAGATGGATAGATACCTTAAACATAATATCGTAGCTGATATTGACATAAAATATCATCAATATCGTATTTTGATAAATGGCCTCTCATTTTTTATGTAGGCAGGACGCGAGGTCAATACCCACTTCTGATTTGGCTTACAGATACAATCTACACTCCAGTCTACGACAAGTTATTCGACACCGAAAAACATTTATACATATAACGCTCTATTTTTACTACAAATAGAGAATGTGGAGTGCGTCTCATAACAGTCTTTGAAAGGATGCAATACCTGCTGTAAGAACACTCTTAAATGAATGACAGTATTTCATAACGTCTGCGTCATGCTTAGTATTCACACGCTAGTAGTATGTACTTTTATTAAATTATTAACTTTAATAACGTTAATTCTTACCAAGTATAACCTTATGTAAACATTACTACTTCTCCGATAAGACTGCCTACTAAAATGACTTCGGCACTCTACGACGCCTCTCCCATCCTTCGTTCATGGTGGGGCACGAGCGTATGGTGTCGGTGTTGCCACAGGATGAATGAGAGAATCATTTGTGTGTATGAGAAAATATTTGGAAATCTTAGAATGTTAATGTAGACTAAATGCGATGAAGATTACCCGTCCTTTAAAGAAACCTTTTTTAAATTACTCACAGGTTACTGAAGAACAGTTATTTCCTTTTTTAAAGTGTCTATTGTAAATAAACTGTTTATGCGAGTGCTTTTCACGGTATTTTATAGCTTTATTTTTACCAATATCTGCGAGTAAAGTATTTTTAGAACATTTCATGAATGTAACTTAATTATAGATACCTTTGAATTAAATTGAATGTACACGTGTTTGAAAATCGTTCGTAGTTAAATTTAAATGAAACCGTATTTAACCATAATAGATTGAGAATAGCACAACAGCAGTGACTAAATTTTGGTAGGTAATTAAGTAGATATTACCAGCGTCTACCGTAGAATTCTAGGAGTACATAAAAGTTTTTAATTATTTTAACATGGTTTTAAAGATTTCAAATTTTAAATATACCTACTCGTACTTTTATAATAAACTACCTTAACACATTTACCACAGATTAAGAGATATGTACATTTACCAAAGAGCCCTATAACCAGACTGGATAAATATACTTATAATTAATAAATACATACATATTATATATGACTTACAACCAGACCCAGAACAAATCATTGTGTTAAACACAAAATTATCAGTCTTGTCAATCTTTTCCTTTGATGAAAGGGAACATAGCGACGATACAGTCACTTTCAGATCATTTCATACACCATACAAGTAACATTGAAGCGTCTTGACACCGCAGTTTAAAAATATATTAACTAGTAACAAGGTCGATTAATAGTTATGATACCGACAGACGGAAGCTATAATTGACGCAGCAATGGGCACTTATTTAACGTCAAAGGCCGTCAACTGCCTTTTCAGAAAGATTGAAATACTAAGAAACCAATAAAATTAATTTCCAAGATACGTACTATATTTTTATAGTAGTACGAATTTCATATATTCGTAGTAATGTCAAAGAAATACCATAGAAGTCATATTCGAGACTCATAAATAATTGATGTAGGTATATGAATTTTCTTTTTTTTCGTGTAGAACCTCAGACATAGCAGGAAAGAAATGGTATATTGGACTCGAATCCAGTACCTATTGAAGTCACTAGAATATTGGTAACACATGCCAAAGTTCTTACGTGGTTTGTACAAAAGAATTTATTTAATTGATTTACCATTAGCTAATAGCAATTGTTACTATGATAATAACTTACACATCTCACATATGATAACCACACTGTTGATAAACATACTTATGTTTCTAAATACATAAATTACAACCAGAAAAAAGGATCCTGATCATCTTATCACACAATTGCTGGTTCTGGGTGGGAATATATGATCCTTATTAATTAAGAGTTAAATAATATTAACAAGCTTTTTTGATTACGTCAACAATCTGTATCTCAAAAATTCTAAATATTATTATAACTTTGTGGTATTTAAGTGCTACATCCTATTAAAAAAATTAAAATTGCTGTCTTTAAAAAAAAATGTGGGCATAAAATAAAACTATTGACATTAAATAATAATTTAAGCCGTAAGAGTATTTATATCAACATGAAAATACACACACGTATTGTATTATGATATTCATAATTTCAGTTTTATAATACGTACTCATCACCAAAAGAACATGTTTGTTCGGCAAACCATCACCAACTCTTAAATTACTCTTTTATTATATTATTTTTATGTGATTTTATATCTTACCTTTTAATTCGTAAGTAGTAGTAGTTTGATCCCTTGACCCTCGTCACACCATAAAACATACCTTACAATAAAAGCTGATAACAAATCGAAGGGTATAGATGTGAAAACAGCCAACCATGACATATGATTCTTATCAGCAACAACCCGAATGCCGTCCTGGTTACAAAAGCCAAGCAGGTTATATTGTACTTCTAATATAACGGGAACTTTATAATGTTCACAAAACTGACCATGCATTTATAACAGACGTTTATATTTAAGAACTTAGCAATCTTTGTTAATAATTGAATACTTAAGGATTAAATTTTAAAGGCATGTTTAAACATACAGGTTCCTTTGTTTGTTTTTTTTTAACTTTCTTTTTTTTACAGTTTTACTTCAAATTCTTTTTTAAATTTGTTATTCAAGCCATCAGTGGAAATACATATAATAAAACTAGAACGCGTTATACCTTGCTTACAGTGCACTTGTGTAAATGATTTTTTTTGAAATCAAAGTACATAGGCATATGGCATAGGGGGCAAACGAGCAGACGGGTCACTTGATGGTAAGTGACTATCTCAACTCATGGATTACTGCAACTTAAAGAGTCACAAATATAATAATAATAATAATAATAATAATCTTTATTGTTATAAATAACCTTTAACAGTTTTCTTATATATATATACACATAAACGTACAAGCAACTTAACAATTAAAGGTCACACCAATAGAGTAACCCTAACTCCCAAACTAGGTGTTCCTGTGACTTGGGAGTTAGTGTTCTGCTGTTATAGAGACAGATTGTAGGCTTAGAGGTTAGAAATATAATGCGGTGTGTGTGTGTGTGTGTGTGTGTGTGTGTGTGTGTGTGTGTGTGTGTGTGTGTGTGTGTGTGTGTGTGCGTGTGTGTATGTATGTATGGCTGCGTGTGTATGAGGGTGTGTGTGTATGTGTGCGGGGGCGTGTGTGTGTACGTGTGCGTGTATGCGAGCATGCGTAGGTAGGTGTGGGCAGATGCTTACTGCTGGAGTTGAAGTAGTCCTTCAGTTTGTACATAGTCTAGGGTTTGTAAAAATGCCATTGTTTTATTTTTCACTTCGCGAGGAGTTAAGCCACTAATAGGAATAGCTTTATATATTTTTTTGTAAATAAGAGTACTATTGACATAAAATTGTCGACCGGCGAATGCAGTTTTGTGGTTTTCCACACTGCATAAAACTCTTCTTGTACGCTTTGTGTGATCTGGTGGGGGAACTTGAGTATGTTTTTTAAGGGTTGCTTGGAGCACAAATAGTTTTCTGACGGAGAGAAATTTGCTATCTGCATATAATAAATGAGTCGGATACCGAAATGGTTTACCAAGTATTACCTTCAGGACCGCTCTTTGTGCTCTCTCTATTTGAATGAACTTGGTTTTGGCGGCTCCACCCCACACTGGTATGCAGTAAGTGATAACGGATTGGCAGATCGCTAGGTATATCATTCTCATGGTATCCATATCTGCGCAGTATCTAAGAGATTTGAAAATATATACAAGTTTCCTAATTTTTAAAATGGTACTGTCAATATGATCGTACCATTTCAATCCGCTATCAATCACTACACCCAGATACTTTATATGATTTACACAGGTAAGTGCCTCACACGAGCAGTGGACAGGATCAGAGCATGTATGAACCCTTATTATAAAGTCTGTTGCAATTTTATTCCTATTGTTAATGCAGAAAGGCATATAGTTTGTCTTACTTACATTCAGGGTTAACAGATTTAGGCAAAGCCAGTGTGCAACAGTTTGCAAGGACTTCTCTGCAGTGGTTCTGACCTCTGTCCAAGTATCACCATAGATAACAATCGCGGTATCATCCGCATAAGTAAAGATATTTGACTTTCGCAACGGCAGAAGACATAGGTCATTAATATAAATTTGAAAGAGTGTCGGCCCGATCACACTGCCCTGCGGAACACCATACGTAACAGTTTCTTCATCACTTATACATGAACCTATTTTAACAACTATTTTTCTATTTTGAAGATAATCCTTAAAAAGGTCTAGGGGTTTTCCACGTATACCTATTGACTCCAGTTTCATAAGAAGGGTGGGGACAGAGACCGTATCAAATGCTTTTTTCAGATCAATAAAAATACCAAGGCATTTTTGTTTTGCATCTAATTTTCTTACTACATGCTCTGTTAGATCTAAGACTGCATCTTGAGTAGAAACCCCTTTTTTAAATCCATATTGATTGGGAGCTATAATATTAAACTTCTTAAGGTAGTTAGCTAGTCTTCCGTTAATTAGCTTCTCCATTACCTTAGAGAGGGCTGAAAGTACCGAAATAGGCCTATAGTTGTTGATGGAGTCTCTGTCCCCGCCCTTGTGGATCGGATGAATGAGCGCTTTCTTAAAAGGTTCCGGAAATACTCCATTTGCTATTGAAGTGTTTATAATGTGAGTAATTAGGGGAACAAGAGTATTCTTACATACCCTTAAGAGCAAGGACGGTATGCCATCACAGCCCGTGGCACTGTCGTGCCTAAGGTTCATAATGGTGGCCTCTACTTCCGACTCATCTACTTCAAGAATTACGAAGGAGCTACTATGATTGCTTTTATTTAAAGGCAATTGTGACATTTGGGGGGGGATTTTTGCTGCTAAGTCGGAGCCAATCGTAGCAAAGTATTTGCAAATACTATTTATGGCTATTTTCAGATCAGATTTGCTGTCAAGCAGTTCCGTAGGGGGTGCACATGTCTTTTTTGTGTTGGTAATATGCTTGATTTTATTCCATAGTGCCTTTGTATTATATTTTGCTTTATCCAGTTCGTGTTTATCATGTAGGTTTTTGAGTTTTTTAAGTAGACTGTTGCAGAAATTACGATATCTTTTATAGGTTGTTAGTATAATTGGGTTATTAGGTGACATTCTAGCTTCTTTATGTAGTTTATCGCGGTGGCGTATACATCTTAACAAACCTGGGGTAATCCACGGTTTTAGGTTTCTATTTCTTTTTTTAACATGTACAACTCTTGTGTTTGCACTTACAATGTTTTGTATTGCAGTAACAAGAGCGATGGTAGCTTTAGTAGGATCCTCTGAAGTCATGATGTGACTAAAGTCATGGTGCTCAATATCGTACTTGACCTTATCATAGTCTATGCTAGGAATTTTAAAAGCAGGTAACGTTCCTTTGACCCACCTATCAGTCTCGACTGCAACAAGTAGTGGGAGGTGGTCTGTAATATGTGAGTCTAAGACAAGCACAGTTGATTTTTTAATAGTTTTAAGGATTACATGATCTATACACGAATTTGATCTGGTTGGGAAATAATGTGCAGGAAGAAGACCATGGGTAGCATTAAGAGTAAGATAGCTGGCAGAGCGTTCATTTGTACTAGAAGGTGTTATGTCTATATTAGTATCACCAATAAGACATATATTATCGTACTTGCTAACCGAGCTTAGTACATTATCCAGAGTGTTCAAAAAGAGATCGAACCCTTGGTTAGAACAGCTCGAAGGAGACCTATAAATGGCAATTATGGCTAGTTTATTGCCAATTTTGCAAGTAAGGGAACTGCCATTGATAAAGTCTGGTTCCTCAACTGTGTACTGTAATTGTTTTTTTATATAAATTACTACCCCATCATTTTGGTTTTTCGTTTTTTTTGTGGGGTGACAGTTGTATCCATCCATTACTGGTAGGTCAGCGATTTTACTAAGCCAGCATTCGGTTAGAATGACAACGTCGCAATCAACTTCAAGTAAGGTGAGTAGTGTTAATAATTCGTCAAAATTCTTTTTAATGCTGCGTATGTTAATATGTACAATAGTCGTAGAGGGGCCGACACTACTAACAAATTTCTTGCATTCGATTGGATCACACGTGTAAGCTTTCGCGACATCTATATTGTCTAATTCAGACAAGATATTATAAACTGAGGTAGCCATTTGTAAAGTTGTATATCCGCAATTTGTGAGGCATTGCTGAGGGTAGGATAGGTATTCGTTTAGGAGTCAGCTGGTTATTATAAATTTTATCACTAATTTCAACAGGCTGTGTGTGAGTAATGTCTATGATATATAATGAAAGTCTGTGCGTGTGTAGGATAGATGTTTGAGTTTGTAGATTAATAGCAGCAGACGTGTACTTTTTTTGTATATATGACGGTTTGATAGCAATGTCACTTTTATTATCAGGTTTAGCAATGTAAGATTGTGTTATTAGTGTGTTTGTAGATTTTAGAGGTATATCTGTATTTGTGTGTAGATTAGTGTTTGTTATCTGACTTAATATAAAGTACTTAATAAAGCAAAAATATTCATCATGCAGTATACAAGGAATGACGCAGTAGTTATGGTAGATTATGACTTGGCAGTGTAGTAGTAGTCATTTACTGTCTTGGAGCTCCTGGAGGGTAGTTTCGGATTTAATCAGTATTTGTTTATCTCCCGGTTGTTTCCGTAAGAAGATTCTGCCATTAGATGACCAACAAAATTTGTAATCATGTTGTTTTGCAAATTGCCTGCATAAATAAAATAGTTTCTTCACAGAGGAACACAAGTGTTCGTCCACATACACAGGATGCTTTTGCCCAGGGAGCCCTATGAGTTGTGTATTAAGCTTATGGTCATTACTTTCATGTTTAGTATTAAATTTACGTACTCGGGATATAAGTTCTGTCTTTATTTGTACACTTGTGAGTTCGGCTATAATGGCTTTGTTGGGTGAATTTCCCGAGGCACGATATGGTTGCCTACCTTTAAGTCCCCCCCTCAAGGTCAGTGGGCTCCATCCGAATTGCTTTCTGTGAGTTGACTTGAATAAGTGACACATGATAGAAAATACTACTAATAAAAAATCTTTAATATTATAAAATGGGTAATATAAAAACTTTTCTGTCAAAACAGAGGGTAACTGAGGTCCGCACTAAATTTTAACCAATCGCAACGATCGAGTAGATGTGAAATAAACACGCACTTGGCCCTCAGATCGCTAAAAATTTTGCATATAAACATGAAAAATAATTATGGCATTAAAAACTTTAAGATCAGAAATTAATTCATTTATTTAACATCAAAAGCACCATGAGTAACGGTAATACGACTAACCCAACAAAATATCTCGACGGTATTGTTAAGCCCCAAGATAATATATTCGGTTACGAACAATAGTTTGCATGCGTCGTTACAAATCTGTTTCTTGTTTATATACTTACCTGGTATGCAAATGAGGGCCGATAAGCCTTTTAAACAATAGCTTAAAAGGTTTATCGACATAACTTCAACGACGCAATCATAAAGTTGATAAATATGAAAATTGTATGCACTAAAGAAAAACTAAGCATTGCATTGTTGCAGGGTATGAAAAAATGTTGCTCAGTGTTTTTTCATTTTCCTACGTCACGTTTGCTTTAAAAACTATTTTAATTATCGCTTCTTTTTATTTATCGTTCATGTAAACTGATTGATTTTACTTTTAGTTATCCTACTGAACCAAATTACTATGAGACGAGTAATTTATTATACTTAATAACGAGGACATGAAAAATTTAAATTTACACAAACCAATGGTTTAAGATCTTTGTGGACATTTATGTTACAGTGGAAATTAAAGACTTGTAGGTAATTCAGTAATTGTTTGTTTTATTGATTGTCTTCTTCTTTTCTCACACAGAAACGTTTCGACAGTTATTTTCCTTAATAGCACAATAATATAATTTGACTATATTTGAAATTTAGATAGTTATTATAATTAGTGCCTTCTCTAGTGTTTTTCTACCAAACTATACAAAAGAGAATTCATTAAAAAACGGGAACCCCAGTACATCATTATTTCTAACCTGAAGAAATAGTTCCTTTTCCAGAGTCACGATGAAACGGCTTTGAAGCAGTTTTTTTTCTGCCGCAGTACTAACGAGAATCTTGTCTAAGTTATAACCGCTTTGCATTGTTTTAATCACTTGAAACCGCCATCCAACTCTTCTGGGGGACGCAAATAAGTCCTTTATTTTATCACGGTAATGGATGTCAATTGGAGTTTGGAGCTTTATCAACATTGAAAAATAACAGTGAATTTCGATTTGAAGAAATGTTGAAGTACTGCAATACGCAATAGCCCTTCTCTGAGCGTGTTCAGGAAGAGAACCAGGGGTTATTATCTGTCCCTTCAATAATCAGACCCTTAGTATGTATGTATTATATACATATATATATATATGTGTTTAAAACCTTCAGCGAATAGAGGACAACAGAACAGGAAGAAAACTCCCGTTAAGCTCGCCTTTGTACATGATATTTCCTTGTTACTTATATATATGTATGTGTTCAGTGTGTACAATAAAGAATAAATAAATAAAATAAGTAATTACTTTATTTAATAAATTTAAATTTAAAAAATTTAAATTAAAAACAATCTAATAATAACATGGCAGCTGACTGTGTGGCTCTTCCATTTCGGTATAAATAAATTATCTGACAAATTACATTTCTAAAAGAATCGACAAAAATTTGGTATTTATTATTACTAAGGGTATCAGGAGGGTGCCAGGGGGTATTAGGGTGGGTGTATGGAATCCCGAGATGTATTTCTTACTTTTACGACGTTGAAAATCTAACATTTTTCCTGCAAAATATCTTCAAAAATAAAAGAAAACATCAATTGGAAAAAATACATTTTTACTCTAAGGCATTTTCAGTAACCTTGGGCTATTTTGTAGAACAGCAGATAGCTTCTAGTTTCTCTGAGAGAGGGTGGTCAATACTATTGACCACCTTTGAGTAATGGATGTAACATTTAAACAATAAGTAGGGAGTTACGACAATTATAGGTGAACATTTAACTATTAAATATAGAAAATTGTAGAAATATTTTGACTACCTATAGATTCAACTAGAAAAATATAATATGTTGAATTCAGATTTTCTTTTAATGTAATAATGGCTAGATTAAGAAGTAAACACCTGTTAATTTACATATTAACTACTATGTAGCAATGAAACAGAACCTCAGATGTCAGTGAACTTATTCTAGGCAACGTATAATAAGTATGTAATGCGTATATAGGACAGATACCAACTCCAACTGGAGTCCATTAGTCGTAAAACAAACAAGCAAACAAATATAAGCCTTGTAGACTTCTACGCCAATTTGACATTTATATATATATTTATATACAGATACGTTACATTAATGGGTTCTCGGTGATCATACAAAGGATTTAAATATAGAAAGAAATCAGATAGAGTAGATATCGACCGGAAACTGCCAAATTCAAAATACTTTAATTATTATTTCAGAGTTAACCATTCTACGAAACAAATGAGAATGCTCATAGCCGGTACCATAGTGCGGTACCATAGTAGTCAGAGGTACATTAACAATAAATAAAAAAATCGGTCAGTTACGAGTCGAACTCGTGCGCCGAGGATTCCGTACCTACCCAGATTTTACGAAGATTTTCGCGAAAATTTGTAAGAACCAAAATTTATCTTAATTTACAACAAAATTTCGTGATTCTAGGTCAACGGGAACTACCATATAGGTTTTCAACACAAAACCTGTAGGGTACTTCCGGTTGACCTAGAATTGTCAATTTTAGTTGAAAGCAAGGTCCTACAGCACAAGTAAAGAGAAAATTCTGAAAATAAAAAAAAATTGAAAATTAAGTTAAATTTTGGCACTTACAAGTTTACAAATCGAAATTTGCCCATATCTTTTTATCGTGTTGACTCAGGACCTTGATTTTTGTACACCTAATAGGGACCATAGACCTCAGTATCTGGTATAAATTTCAACTTGCTAGGTCGACCCGTTCCTGAGAAAATCGGTGGTGACAAACGGACAGCGGGACAAGAAAGTGATCTTAAAAGGGTTCCTTTTTTACCTTTCGAGGTACGGAACCCTAAAAAGATGTTTTAATTATGTTATCGTTAAGTTAAGATTGTTAACTCTCTTTTCAAAATGTTATCCACTTACAAAATCTGACAAAACTATAAATTATTGGTAGTGAAAATTCAAATCTAGTTCAAAGCACGTTGGTATGGAGATGGTAAGATAGTGTAAAATGTTCTTATTGAGATTAAATAATTACCATAAAAATATCATACGCCTATATCATAATGAATTGTAATAAACTATATTCTTTATTCCTTAAATTTGTCCCCTTAGGTATATTATGTTTTCTTTTAAATAGGACTAAACTTAAATATGGAAAGGTATATACATATACAGGCCAATGAAATGAAATAAAACCGCAAAATTTAACATAAGTTATGGCAGAATTCGAAACCATAATTTCTATAATCATAAATTTTATCAGTTAATACTTTGTTTTAAATCAAAATTACGTTAAAATTAATTTTGGTTTTCTGTGCTTAAGTCTTTAGTTAACGAGAAACTTTGTGGTCGATAACAGTCAGTCAAGTAATTGCTATTCATGGTGCTATATTGATAGCAGTCAAAAAGTTATGATTGGAAGTCAGAATTGTACAGAGTTTCTCTGAATTTAATTTTATAAAAGATGGTCATTTAATAATTTGCAATAATGAATAATTTACTTCAATTCACAATATCAGTCACTATAGAAATAATCCTAGTAATACGATTTTTTGAAGTGAAAGTGTAGTAGCGATTTTTTGGCAAGAGAAAAACTTCATCACCCATGACCTCGACATGCTCGTGACGTATTGCGCCAGCCTAGCGACGCGTATTATAGCAGTATACCCATTATACACTCGTCTGTATCATATACGTGTTTGACTTTTTGGATGGGTGAAATCTTGTGATTTCGCGTTACCGACATGCTGTAAAAAAGAGCATAGTTATTCCATTGTTTTGAGTGTTCACTTCTGGCGTCAGTCCTTATGACTGCGTCTGTTTTATTTTATTTTACAAGCACATAACATTCATACCTCGTTCCCGTTTGAGATATGCAGAAATGATAGAACGT